GGGCCTAGACCCTTCTTCATTTTCTGAAGAAGGGTCTAGGCCCGAAACGTCAGCCTTCCTGCTCCTCTGATGCTGCTTGGCCTGCTGTGTTCATCCAGCTCTACACAGTGTTATCTAACATGCAAATTTGGCTAGTTATTTTTGAGTTACAATTGTTTCCCTTCAATGAACTGTGCCGTACTAACTAGGGTGTCCAAATTAGCTTCAAGTTAGGGAAATACTGGCTTGTTAATTTGATGGCACTGAAGCAGGGAGTCTCTGGAGGACGTGATATGAATTTTGATTTACCTGGGCTTTCAATCCCTCTAGCATCTTTAGTTTTGATTCTTAGCTTGATATTGCTTGGAATGGTCATTGTGTGATTGAAGAATTGTTTGAGATCCGCTTAAATTGGTTTTGGAGGAAACCTGGGTGAGCTGCCACACTGCAGCCACAGGACATCCGTGGTTACTGAGTGGAGGATGTTCATAGTGGAAACTGCTCTCTTTCTGGTTTTTGGGCTTTTTGACATGATTGTGGCTACACCAATCCAGGTGAGTGGTCAGAGTTCCATCACCCTCCAAACTTCAGCCTTGACGGTAGCGAGAAAACTTTGAGGAACCTTGGGTTTATCAGTTTGGCAGTTACTCCTTACCCTAACTTTTCCAAGCAAATATTACAGTTTCACTGCTGTCATCTAAGCAGTCAAGAAAATAAACTTTTACAGTAGGTTAAAGGGAACGTACAAAAAATACTCAGCATGTTTTCACCCATGGTGAATGGTTTCCATTCCACACTGTCTGCAGATTTGTTTGATTTGAAATTTGGCTGTTAATCCAGGGAGGGGCTGAGCTCCCAGTCTGAAGGAGTGGTCGAATTTCATTACCATATCCATGTGTTATTAACAAAAGTTAGTTTCTATTGATACCCTCTGAGAAAAATTATTTTCTTCCCCCCCCCAACATATTCACAGTGCAGAGGCCTGTGACTGTGGTCGAATTGTACAGTACCAAAAGAGTCTCTTTTCTTTCCTCCTTGAAAGAGCAGTCAATTTGATCACTACCTTGTTTTTTTTTCTGTAACTGCATAATTTTTTCTTTCAAGTATTTATCCAGCCCACTTTTTGACAAAGTCAAAAATCACACCAGGTTTTTAGTCCAGCAGGTTTATTTGAAGACACAAGCTTTTGGAGTCTCACTCCTTGTCTAGCTGTCAGTGAGAAAGGTGATATTAGACACAGAATTTATAAGCAAAAGATCAAAGGGTCATAGAATTGATGCGGGGCTGAACAAACCTAAGATGGCTGTTAAGTCTTTCATCAGTTAAAAAGGATTAATGTGCAAATTCCGAAGTTTCATTCAAGTCACTGCTCCGAGATAACTAAAGGTTTTATCAGTTCTCTCAGTATACCAGCAGTGATATCCCAGGCCAGACAATGCATTTCAGGTGTGAGGCCTTGTTTAGAATCCAGCTGTGTATCAACTTGGAGTCAGGCGGGTTTTATTTCAAAGTAGGAATTTATAAAATGCCACATTGTCTGCAAATTGTTTGCCTTTTGAACAAAATAGAATGTATCTGCAATTGCAAATTCACCACATAGCTTAATATGTGTATGCACGCGTGTGAGGGAGAGTGAGTGTATGCGCAAGCACGTAAGAGAGGGGGTGGGGCAGAGGTGCGTGAGGTGGGGAGGGGCAGTGGGCCCTCCCTTGCCCTCACTTCTGTCCCTCCTGCTCCCCTCACCTCCTTAGAAATTACCTGTTCTCTTTTTTTGTTACCGCAATACACCACCGCTGGGAGGACAGAAGAACTTGTTCTGATTATTAGACAAGTCTGAAATGTGTTGTGATCTAGTGCTCAGTGTAACCGTGTTTTCTTATTGAACCAATTTTTTTTAAAAATAAAGTAACTTACCAAGTAAGATACTGTGCAGTTTGTTACCTTTTGTTTTGTAGCGGCATTGTCCCTGTCAGCTGTCTTTCAAGTTTCTTCATGGTGTGAAACATGGATTATGAGTTTGTATTGCTTGACTACCTTCTGACAGGGGGGAGCCAAAAACATGGTATGGGGTGCCAGGTTATGCTGCTGAACAACTCGAGCATGTAATGAGGAAGCTGGCTCCAGAACTGTTCCATTCTCAGCCAGATCTGCTGCACCAGTTGGTGACCATCATGAATCCCAATATTCTTATGGAGCACGGAGTCCCGGTATGTTCATTTTTCTTGTTATTTTCTTGCTCTTGTTATCCAGCTTGCATCTAATTTGTTGAGATGCTGTTTATCACTGGAAGAAATTAATTCTGGGTCACTTGCCTGGCAGCTGCAGTAGTAGCTCTTAAAATTAAATAAACTTTTTTTTATGAATTCTGAAGTTATTTTGTTTAAAACTCTTATTAGTCATGCTGATGAATTCTCCAAACCATTACCTGAATGAGTACAGTGAATTTTTCCTATCTTGCAGTAGTGTAGACAATTCATTACCTTGCAAAGGAAACTTTCTTTTAACGTCTCTAATACTCAGCTAGTCCGTTCAAAAGGAATTTCACCTTGCAAAGGTTTAGAGAACCCTTGGGCGTTCTACAATGTGATCATCATGAGATGGTGCAGTGAAAATTAGTGAGTATCAAAGCCAAGATTTCTTTGGCCTTGCCAAATGTAAGTGTGTGCATTTTTGCAGGAAGACCCACTAGTTCTACTTGAAAAATTAAGTTATCCTAATGGCTTATTGAAGCCAGTTTCCAATTTAATCATTGGAGAGCTGATGGTGTCCATTTGTGCCTACTTGTGCTTTATCTGTTGTTAAAGAGAATGGAATTACTCCTTTCTATTGAGAATGTCACATTGCTAATTATATTTCATTCCTAGGTGTTCCGAACAGATCAATGTGCTGGTGAGTTTGTGGTTACTTTCCCAAGAGCCTATCATAGTGGATTCAACCAGGGCTACAACTTTGCCGAAGCAGTGAATTTCTGTACTGCAGACTGGGTGGGTTGTTCACTTTCTAAAGGATGTTTTAATAAATCAGTACATCAGATGTAAGCTGTGTTACATGGTAGTACCTCAGAAATCTTGGCAGTGCTTATTACAGCTAATTAGTTATTTCTTAGTACAGAACTTGAGTATTACTGGGAAAGGACTCTTTGCTGAAACTACTTTTTGTCTTGCACTCATCAAGACAATTTGCAAGAATACCAATGTGAAAAATAAACTTACTCTGCGTGAAAGGATCAGCGCGTGGGAAATCAGCACTTTCCTTGTACACTATTTACATGTTTTCCCTTTTATGAGTTGTGCTGAAGACTACAGGATGAAAAGCTTTGACAAAATGAGTCTTTTTCGCAGTGTCATGATTTACTGTGGTGATGCACTGGAAGTCCAGCTCCATCTTTCCTGTAGTCGGTGTAACTGTAAAAAGGTTTAATTTATCTATTCAATTTACCTAATTGACAAACGCTGGTCAAATTTATATGCCACCAGGTTTATATACTTGAGAAGAAACTTATTTATTGTCTTTACCTGATAGTAACAGAGAAATAAATTACTAACTTAAACATTAACTTGACTCCTTTTATAACTAAGCACCTCCCTCAGACCATCCTTCTCACTTACACTTTTTAATGTGCACACAAGTACAATAATGTTAATCTGCATTACAGGATTCTGAGTGTGGCATTAATTCACTATCTTCCAGTTTCCTTCAATCTCTTCTCAGTTCGTTGCTGATGACGCACATTATCTTCACCAGGGTTTAGTCTTTGGTTACTTATTAAGAATTAATCCCTTGAATGCCATAGAAAATTTTCTTCTTCCTTTGGCAAAAGTATGAATAGAACAAAAATAATCAAAGAACTGCGGATGCTGGAAGTCCGAAATTGCTGGACAAACTCAGCAGATCAGGCAGCATCTGTGGAGAGAAAGCAAAGTTAACATTTCAGGCCCAGTGACCCTTCTTCAGAATTCTGAAGTGATATATTTTAGTGTGAAAAACAAAAGGCAAAGTATTATTGCCATGGTTATGTGCAGTGTGAAGTGATGCAGTTTGGTCAGAAGAACATTGAAAGACGAAGAAATAGGGGTACAATTCTAATGTGCGTGTAGGAATAGAGCTGTATATGTGCACAGATCATTAAAGGTGACAGGACAGGTGGAGAGAGCAGTATGTAAAGCGTGCTGTCGTCTCTGCATTATTAACAGGGGCATAGAACACGAGAGCAAGGAGGTGACATTGAACTTCTATAAGATGCTGTTAGACCTCACCTGGAGTATTGTTTACAGTTTGTTTCCATATTACAAAAATGATGTGAAAAAATTGGAGAGTGTGCAGACGTGATTTAGAAGAATGGTTCCAGGAATGTGAAACTTCAGTTATGAGGGTAGATAGAATGAGTTGGAACTGTTCTTCTTGGAGAGGATAAGGTTAAGAGGAGATCTAATCGAGGTTTCCACAATCATGAGCAGGCTGGATAGAGCAGATGTGAAGAAACTGTTTCCACTTGTAAAAAGTCAAAAATAGATTGTGATTTGCAAAAGGCATTGGGCTGATATGAGAAAAAATCCTTTTCACTGAGCAAGTTAGGCAATGGAATGTGCTATCTGGAAGTATAGTGTATGCAGGTTCAATGAGGCATTTGAAAGGGCATTGGGCAATTATTTGAATAGTAATGGTGTGCAAGAATCTGGCGACAAAGCAGGAGATTGGCGTGAGGAAATTATGCTTATTGCAAGAGAATGCAGTCATAATGGACTGGATGGTTGTCTCCTCTAAGACTTGTGCGTTTCTGTGATGTACTGATCCCATCCCTTATTAACACAAGCTCACTTTTTCATATCCTCCTTGTCTGCCCTTTCTGAGCATTCTAATCCTTGAATATTCGGTTCCCAATCCTGGTCACCATGCAGTCATTTTTCTGTGGTAACACTTAGTCATACCCATGCATCTGCATGCATTCAGGTTGAGTGTCTTTTAACTTGGGCTTTTTGACATCATTCCATTCTTGAAGCATCTGCTGTATCTTTCTCCTGTCTTCCATGTCCCTAGCATCTTTTCAAGTTCCTTCCAATTGGAGTTACCCTTTAGACTCCCATCCCCCTGAAAAGCTACTCTAAACCCACTCGAAGAATACTAGCGAATCTCCTGGTGTGGATATCACTCTCGGCCCAGTTAGGGCATAACCTATCCAGCTTGTAGAGGTCTCATTGCTGATTGGCAAGCAAGATAGACATGGGGGTCTCTTGCACTTCCTGCCTGGTTTCCTAACACTGCCTGATAGTCACCTATTCCCTCTAAACTGGTACACTTCTGATCTGTTGTGTGACCACTTCCCTATACGTACTATCCATATAGTCTTTCACCCAGCAGATGCATAAGAGTCTCCAGCCACTGTTCCAATTCCAAAACCCAGAGCTCCAGCTTGTGCAGCCAGGGACACTTCCTGTAGATATTTATCTGGGACATAGTATGTATGTGACTTCAAGCAAGCTATTTCTTAGAAAGAGAAAAGTCCATATACTTAAACTAAATACCTAAGTTTTACTACAAATATTGGAAATGCTGGCCAAACCTACTCACTAGTCAGCTGCCTTCCCTGTATTTGTGATGTCACTTGTATTGGTGCAGGTCATCTTCTCAATCCATGCCTTATTTGTTCTCTTGCTGAGGGTGCACGCATGCTGAGCAGCATGCTGATATTGACTTCTAGTTCTGCAGCCGAGAAAAAATTTGAGGGAACCTTGAGCCTCACTTGCTCTGGAGATTTTTGTCTTGCTGTAAACCTTTAATCAGTACTAAATTCCCACTTTGACCCAGTTTCGCTCTTGCTCTTGCTGTCCAGTGAAGTCATTCTAACCCTGACCATGTAATTGTATGTCAGGGAGAAATGATTGAAATCTGTTCTTGGAGGTGGTCATTATCTGAAATTCTTTATCTGAAGGTTAAAATGGGACTGGATGTTGTGGAATTACCAGAGAATGTCTCCACTTCTGACCTGGTCATTGAAACAACTAAAGATGGCTTGGCTGAGGTCACTACCCTGTGGAGTTCCTGCTCTGATGCCCAGGGGCTGAAATGATGCAGCTCCAACAAATATAGCCATACTCCTTTGTGCTAAGTATGACTCCAAGTAGCAGATAGCTCCTTTCATGAGTTTCACTGACCTCAGAATTGCTCTGACTCCTTGATGCCACAGTTTATTGAATGCTGCTTTGATGTCAAGAACAGCCACATTCACCTCTCCAATTCAGGTCTTTTTTTGTTTATTTATGTTTAAACTCAGGCTGTGATGAGGTCAGGAGCTGAATGGCCCCAGTAGAACCCAAACTGGCAGCAAGCAAGTTATTGCTAACTACTGCTTGATAGAACTTTCCATCACTTTGCTGATTGAGTTATTGGTTGGGTCATGGGGAGTGTTGCCAAACAGAGAGACCTGGAGGTGCCGGTACATAGTTCCTTGAAAGTGGTGTTGCAGGTAGACAGAATGCTGAAGATGTTTGGCACGCTTGCCTTGATTGGTCAGACCATGAGTATAGGAGTTGGGTTGTCATGTTGTGGCTGTTCAACACATTGGTTAGACCACTTTTGGAATACTGTGTACAATTCTGGTCTCCTGCTGTAGGAAAGATGTTGTTTAACATGAGAGGGCACTGAAAAAATTTACAACGTTGTTACTGGGATTGGAGGGTTTGAGGTATAGGGAGAGGCTGAATAGGCGGGCGCTTTTTAACCTCTGGAGCATTGAAGTTGAGGGGTAATCTTATAGCGGTTTGTAAAGTAATAAGGGGCATGAATAGACAACCACTTTTTCCTGGCATGGGGAAGTCCAAAACTAGAGGGCATAGGTTTAAGGTGAGAAGGAAAAGATTCAAAAGGGACCTAAGGGCAACTGTTCACGCAGACGGTGGTATTTGTATGAAATGAACTGCCAGAGGTGGGTACAATTACAACAATTAAAAGTCATTTGGATGGGTACGTGAACAAGAAGGGTTTAGAGAGATATGGGCCAAATGCAAGAAAATGGGACTATTTCAGGTTAGGAAATCTGTTTGGCATGGAAGAGTTGGACTGAAAGCTCTGTATCCGTCCTGTATGACTGAGTATAGATTTATGGGATGGATTGAGTTGGGTTGAATTTGTCTTTTTTTTTCTTTGTGGTCAGGACATGACTGAAAGATTTGCTACATTATTATGTCAATCCCGGTGGTTTAACTGCACTGATATAGCTTGGATTGTGAATTGGTAAATGTAGAATCCATAGTTTTGGAGGAAAGAACCAAAAAAGCAAAGAAAACACTGGTAGGAGTAGTCTATAGGACCCCTAACAGTGCTTTATGGTCTGTTAGAGAATACATTGAAAGGTAATGAGGCCTAGTAACAAATGCAATACATTAGTCATCAGTGACTTCAAGCTTGTAGATTTGAGATAGATTGGCAGAGGAAGCCATGAGGAAGAATTCATAGAGTATAGTTTCTTAGAACAGTATGTTGTGGATCTAATTAGGGCTTCAGGCTATTTTGGACCTGGCAGTGCTTGGCACCGTTCTTTTTGACCCAATGTCCGGCCTCTGAAATTGAATGCCAAGTATAATGGTCAGTATTCTGAAGTCCAAGTTAAGGACTTCTCCCAGGGCACTCTGTCCTCTCTGTGCAACACAAGAGTTTGTTATGCCAGTTTATTTTTAAAACCTTTTTATTATCACTCATACTATAAGAAATAAGCACATTTGCTTAATATATATAGTTATCCCTTTAAATAGAAAGCTACATTGCAAACAACAAAAGGGGAGGCAATGGCATAGTGGTATTGTTGCTGGACTATTAATCCAGAGACCTGGGTTTGAATCCCGCCACAGCAGATGGTGGAATTCAAATTCAATAAAAATATCTGGAATGAAGAATCTAGTGATGCCCATGAATCCATTGTCGATTGTCAGAAAAATCCATCACTAATTCCCTTTAGGGAAGGAAGCTGCCATCCTTACCTGGTGTGGCCTAGAAGTGACTCCAGACCCACAGCAATGTGGTTTACTCTGAACTAGGGATGAACAATAAATGCTGTCAAGCCAGAGACTCCCTCATCCCGTTAATGAATAAAAGAAAAGTTTGACATTTGAGGTTAAGAGTTTAATTGTCCAACTAACTGAGACAGGCACATCTTTATTTATATGAAACGAACAATTTCACGAGCCAATCAATAGTAGTTTTGACTTTTCTTTTGACGATCACTCGTGGATCATTTCAGTTCCTCTGTTAAATTCTGTTCCTAGAGTGTTGTACCTCACTTGTCCCCTCCTCTGGTCTCCGTATAAATGGTTCCACAGGATACAGGCTGGTGTTTTTCAAAGTAAAAGAATAAAGTGTCAATAATTTAGCAAATTGCTCTTTAAATACTGATCATTAATTGTTATCTCATTTCTAACATATGGAATTGTGTGGAATAGACCTGTTCAATATCTGAAGATTCAAAGATGGTTGCTTAACAGCACTTAAATATACTTGGGAAATGTGCATCCTTTTCACGCTTTACTGGAGGCATGGTTACTGTTTTAGTAAAGACTGTGTGTAATTTATTGAAGAGCAGTATGAATTCTTCTATTTCATTGATTTCAGCTGCCCATTGGCCGTCAGTGTGTCGGTCATTACCGGCGTTTGCACCGATATTGTGTTTTCTCACATGAAGAACTAATCTGCAAGATGGCAGCTGATCCTGAGGGTTTGGATGTTGAGTTGGCTGCTGCTGTCTCCAAGGAGATGGTGACCATGCTTGAGGAGGAGACACAACTGAGAAAGGCAGCCTTCGAAATGGTATGTAAGCACATATCGACTTAGAATTACGCAGGTCAGTTCAAATCATGCCAGCTGGGGAATTTAAATTCAATAAAGGAAAAAATATGCTTGAACAAAGTATCAGAAACTACTGGATTGTTGTAATCACATACCTAGATCACTGACTTTTGGGGAAGGAAATTTGTTGTCCTTATTCAGTCTGTCCCAGGAATGCATTGACTCATATTTGCTTTATGAAGTAACCTAGCTGTTGTATCAAAAATATGACCACAGAAGAAAGAATAAAGAAACTGATGGACTCCCTTGGGGCACAAAGATGTGCTTAGTCAAACCTACAAAATGTTCCTTGCTGGCCATCTTGTGCAGTCAGAGGACTACTTAGCTTTCACTCCAGACCCCAGGATGTGTCATTGCATCAGGCCAAACATGGGCAAGGGAGCCTGGTGCAGATTACCACTTACCCAGCGGATGAAACAGTGATCCTCTATGATATATATCAGTTGGACATCAGTTATACCGGGGCTTGGTGAGGCCACACCTTGAGTATTGTGTGCAGCTTTGGTCTCTTAGTCTGAGGAAGGACATTCTTGCTATTGAGGGAGTCCAGCAAAGGTTCACCAGACTGATTGCCAGGATGGCAGGACTGACAGATAAAGAAAGACTGGATCGACTGGGCTTATACTCGCTGGAGTTTAGAAGAATGAGGGTGGGATTGCATAGAAACATATAAAATCCTAATGGGACTGGACAGGCTAGATGCAAGAAGAATGCTCCTGATGTTGGGGGAAGTTCAGAACCAGGAGTCACAGTATAAGAATAAGAGGTAAGCCATTCGGGGCTGAGATGAGGAAGCATTTCTTCACTCCAGAGTTGTGAATATGTGGAATTCTCTCCCACAGGAAGCTGTTGGGGCCAATTTATTGGATATATTCAAGAGGGAGCTGGATGTGGCCCTTGTGGCTAAAGGGTTCAAGGGGTATGCAGAGAAAGTGGGAATGAGATACTGAAATTGCATGATCAGCCAGGATCGTATTGAACATATCAGTGGTCAGCACTGTTGCCTCACAACAGATTTACCCAGCTCTTTTCAATTCCATCCTTGGGCGACTGTCTGTGTGGAGTTTGCACATTCTCCCCACGTCTGCGCGGATTTACTCAGTGCTCCGGTTTCCTCGCACAGCCCAAAGATGTGCAGGTTAGGTGGATTGGCCATGCTAAATTGTCCATAGTGTCTAGGGAAGTGTAGGTTGGGTGGATTAGCCATGGGGAATTCAGGATTATGGGGATAGAGTAGGAGAGTGAGTTTGGGTGGGATGCACTTTGGAGAGTGGATTTGATGGGCTGAATGGCCTGTGTCCACACTGTAAGGATTCTATGAATGGTGGTACAGACTTGAAGGGCTGACTGACCTACTCCTGCACCTGTTTTCTGTTTCTATGGATGCAGTAATGACGGTAATAACAGCACTCTGGATGAAGGATTGCAATGTATAGCATTAATAGCACAGCTGACTGAGTTGGCCAAGTTCAGGCGGCCCTAGCTGCCAGACTCTGCATACAGCGTGTAATGAAGGAACAAACACAAAGGAAAATCGTACTTGACCTGAAAGCGGTGTTTGCGGGGATTGGTATTGGGACCTTTTTTGCTTTTTCTGGTTTAAATAAACAATTTGGAGATGGGCGTTGAGGACAAAAATCTCTAAATTTGCAGATGATATTAAGTTAAAGCAAATAATGAATTGCGAGGATGACATTGAGCGACTTCAGAGGGACATTGACAAGTTGGCCCAATGGACAGAAACCTGTAGATGAATTTCAATGCAGAGAAATGAGGTAATGTGTTTTGGTAGAAGAAACAGCGGTAATACGGATGAATAGTACAACTTTGAGGGGAATGCAAGAGCAGAGGGACCTTCAGATTCACATGCACAATTCAAGGCATGTTGAAACAGTTGTTAAGACTGCTGATAAATTCTTTGGATTTATAAATAGGGGTACAGCGTATAAAAGCAAGGAAGCGCTACAACACCTCTACAAATTGTTGGTCAGACCACATTTGGAACATTTGTGTTCAGTTCTGGGTACCTTATTTAAGGAACGTCGTTAAGGCCCTGGTGAGAGTGCAATGGAGATTTACTATTTTAGATACATGAAATGATTAGAGAAATATGGGCTGCTTCTCCTTGGTACAGAGAGGCTAATATGCAACCTAATTGAGATGTTCAAAATTATGAACAATTTTGGACAAGGAGAAGAAAGATGCTGTGTTTTCATGAGTTGGTATGTCAGTAACTAGGGGTCAAAATTTCAAAATCGAGAGCTCAGAGTGAGATGAAGTGAAACTGCTTTACTGAGAGTTGTTAGGATTTGGAATGTGTTGCCTGGGGGAGCCATGGAGGAGGATTCCATAAAAGCTTTCAAAAGAGCTGGGTAAATCTAATTGAAAGTGATTTTTAGAGGGCTACAGAGATAGGGCTAAAGAACAGGACTAGCTGGTTAGCTCATTTGTGAACTGGTACAGACACAATGGGTTGAATGGCCTCCTTTTGTACTGTGTAAAGTCGTAAGATTCTATAATGCACCCTGTCCCCATCCCCGCTGAACCAATTTAACCTCCCTGCAGCACTAACAAGCCCTCCTGCAAGGATGTTGATCCCATTCTGGTTCAGGTGCAGATGTCCTGACTTAGGTCCCATCTTCCACAGAAATGGTTCCAGTTATCCAGGAATCTAAAGCCCTCTCTCCTGCAGCAACTCTTGAGCCATGCATTGAACTGCTGTATTCTCCTATTTTTGCACTGGGAGTAATCCCTTTGAGGTCATAGTCATAGAGCTGTACAGTTTCAGTCCAATCCCGTCCATGCCGACCAGATATCCTACATAAATCTAGCCCCATTTGCCAGAATTTGGCCCATATCCTTCTAAACCCTTCCTATTCATATACCCATCCAGATGCCTTTTAAAAATTGTAATTGTACCAGCCTCCACCACTCCCTCCAGGAGCTCATTCCTTACATGTACCACCCTCTGCGGGCAAAAGTTGCCCCTTAGGTCCCTTTTTTAAAATCTTGCCTCTCTGGCCTTAAACCTATGTCCTCTAGTTTTTGACTCCCCCACCCCAAGGAAAAGGTGTTGTCTATTCACCCTATCCGTGCCCCTCGTGATTTTATAAACCTCTCAAAGGTCAGCCCTCACCCTTCAAAACTCCAGGGAAAATAGCCCCAGCCGATTCAGCCACTCCCTATAGCTCAAACCTTCCAACCCTGGTGACATCCTTGTAAATCTTTTCTGAACCCTTTCATGTTTCACAACATCTTTCCAAAGCAGGGAGACCAGAATACCCCACACTCTTCCAAAAGTAGTTTAACCACTGACCTGTACAGCTGCAACATGATCTCCCAAATCATACACTGAATACATTGACCAATAAAGGCAAGCATATCAAATACCTTCACTATCCTATGTCCCTGCGACTCCACTTTAGGGAGAAAGTTGTTCTACTACAAACCAACTGACTCCCACTGTTACCTTGACTATACATCGTCATGCCCTGCTGCCTGTAAAGACTATTGCATTCTGTCAGTTCCTCTGTCTCCATTGCATCTGTTCTGATGTCAACTTTGACAAGGTGGCCCGCAGAATGTTCACCACCTTCCTCAATCAAGGATTTCCCAGCATGTAGTTGACAGAGCCCTCAGCCGGGTTTGACCAATCTCTGGCACTTCTGCTGTCACCCCCTCTCTTCCCTATCTCAACAGCGAAAGGGTCTTGCCGTCCTCAACTACCATTGTCCAAACCAAATGAGTCCCACCTGCCTGCTGCTGGCCCATATATCTCCAAAGGTTTCCTATTCATGTACTTGTAGTGTTCGAGTTAATTCAGACACTGTGACTTCTTGTAATTGAGGAAGTATTGGATGTTCTGTTTGCACTTAAGGTGGCAGAATAAATTAAATGTATCCAAGGATACTGAGGTAAATGAGAGTGGAAACTCTGGAGGCATAGGGTTGTCATTTAAAAGGAAAAATCAAGTTTGACAAACTTGCTGGAGTCTTTTGAAGCAGCGCTTGATGAGGGTAGTGCTGTTGATATAGTGCACCTGAATTTCTAACAGATGCTTATTCGAGTACTTCACATCAGATATATGGGGGGAAAAAGAAACAGTTGCAACATGGATACAAAATTTGCTGAGTGACGGAAAGCAAACTATTTGTGGTTAAGAGATGTACTTCAGGATGGTGGAAGTTTTATAGTGCAGTTCTCCAGAGGTCACAATAGGATCCTTTTGCTGACTTGGTAGTTTAACGACCTAATCTTAATGTACGCACACCAATTTAGGTTTGTGCATGATATGAAACTTTGAACTGCGGAGGATTGTTTAGAACTTGAAAAAGGGATGCTTGAACAAGTGGCAGATCAAGTTCAATGCAGGGAAACGTGAGGTGGCTCACTTTGGTACAAAGAATATGGAGAGATGATAAAAAGCACAACTCTGAAATGGGTGCTGGAGCAGAGGGACATGGATGTATAGATGCATAAATCATTAAAGGTGGCACAACAAGTTTAGAATGCGATTTAATAAAGCATGCAATATCCAAGGCTATATTAATCGAAACATACAGTATAAGAGAAATTAGGTTGCATTGAACTTGTATAAGACATCAGTTAGTCCTTTGGAGTATTGCGTCCAATTTTGGGCTTGCACTCTAAAGGACGTGAAGTCCTTTTTTTTCAAAAGGGATGAGCTCTTTCAGTTGTGAGCACAGATTGGAGATGTTAGGACTATTCCTTGGAGAAGACTGAAAGGAGAATACTGGTCTTCAAAATCATGAGTCTGGGCAGAGTAGATGGGGGAAACTCATCACACTCATGAATGATCAAAAATAGATGGATTTTAACAACCATCAAAAGAACCCAAAGTGACATGAAAACTTGGTCATATGTTGTGTGAAAAAGATCCGTGTAGTGGAGACCGGTGCAGTCTGAGCCTTTGGAATAAAATGGCAATAATGTGCAGTGTC